AGGGTGGTGCCACAGGTGGAAGCAGTGGCTAAAGCTCTCCTCAAGGCACTCCAAACAAACATATAATGGAAACGAAAGCAGTGGGCTTGCTATGCAAATGTACTTGAGAGCCGTGTCATCTAGCCTCCCTTCCAGCCAGATGGCTCCTCAGAAACTGTTTATACAGAAATTCTGCAGTTGTTATCGTCAGTGCCTCTTTCTTCAGCCTCATCCCTCTCTCTTTGCTCCTGCCACTTGCCCTGCCTGGAATGCTCGAGCCTCACTGCTCCCTCTCGAAACCCGCCTTTTCACGAGCGCCTCCACACTTGCAGAAAGACTTTCCTAGCTAGTGCAGGCAGAGGTCCACATGGATGCTCTCTTTGCTGAATCCCTGTTGCACTTCCTGTTTATACCACAGAATTCAGTGCTCCTTCATCCGCTACTTTCATTTCCGTTATATGTTTACTTAATTCAGCTGTAAATTGTTACAGGTATAGTGCACTGGGGTTAGAGCAATCTTGCTTCAAGATTTAGTTCCTTGAGGTGACCAAAAAGTTCTGGAACTGGACAGCGGTGATGGTTGCATACTGTGAATGTGCTAAGGCCACTGAATTGCACACTTAAAATGGTGAAGAGGGTGCATTTTATGGTATGTGTATTTTACCACAGCAAACAAATATATATAGGGGGCGCCTGGGTGGCTCAGCCTGTTGGGCGACCAACTTCTGATTTTGGCTCAGGTTATGATCTCAGGGTTGTGAGATCGAGCCCCGCTTTGGGCTCCACGCTCAGAGCAGAGTCTGCTTAAGATTCTCTCTCTCTCTCTCTCTCCCTCTGCTCCTCCCCCTCCTCCCCCCACCAATAAATAAATCAATAAGTAATTTTTTTTAAAAAAAGGGAAAAATATATCGTTCCATCTCTCACAGGCTGTGTGACTTTAGACCATGTCACTCTTTGTTCTTTAGTTTCCTCATTTTGGGGGGCAAAGATCAAGATAAATATTGGTGATGAAAATGATCCCGATGTAAAAAAAAAAAAAAGACCCTGATGTGAGAGGTCCAAGTTGTAAAGCACTGTACAAATACCAGATCTGTCCCCTCTGAACAGTCACTGGTTCAGTCACTTGCCCAAGATTAGCTGACGAAGTGGCAGGGCTGTCTCGAGGCCACCAATCCAGTAATGGAGTTTACAGTCAGCTGTTTGAGACCAGAGTTGAACATGCGCTGTCCAGTGTGCCGGGGATGCCAAGGGAAGGTGCCAGGGGGGAGCACAGCCTCAGTCTTACCTAGTCTGGGGCTTTCCCCCGACTCCAAATTCTGGGTTCTCTCTCGCCACTGGAAGCCCCAGCCACAGGGGTGTGGCACAGGGAGGTGGGTAGCAGGCCCCAGGCTTGCCTCCCCTCGTTCTTTCCTCCTCTCTCCCTGCCTCTAAGGTGAGCTGTGGCAACTACAGTGGGGACCACAGGCCCCCTCGTCCAGGGCTCCACCTGGGCGGCGCAGAGCTCTGTGTGGAAGGGGAAACAAGGCAGAAGTGGCCTTCAGGGAGGAGAGGGCCAGGAGCCCCTAGGTGGTGAGCCTGGATTGCCCTTAGGCTTCTCTGAGGGGGACTAGCTGGCCTTGCCTCAGGGATGACTCCAAGTCAGATTTAAACAGCTCTCTGGGGACATTCTGGGTGGTGGTATTTTGGGGAGCGGATGTGAACTTCCCTGAGGGGGAGTGGTGTAGGATCGGGCATCCTGCTCCCGGGCCCTCTCCCCAACCCCACCAACATGCTCCCTTCTCCAAATTTAGGGTGGGGGGAGGAAGCAGCAGGGCCCTCAGAAGCCAGAGAACTGAGATCCGGAGGCGGGGTGGGGTGCAGGAGGCTCCATTCAAGCAGCTAACAGGAGCGGGTCCTGAAGAGCTAGAGGGAGACCCAGAAGCCCCCACTCCTGTCCCCAGGCTGACATCCTGGCTGGAGGGTCCCACTCTTTCCTTGATCAGAGATCGCTGGGCGCCCAGGAGGCGGTCCCCAGGGACTCCCCGTGCAGCCGCGGCTCAATCCCCAACACCCCCCTCCCATTCTCCCTCCCTCTCCTGCTTTCCAGAAGGGGGACCAGTGGACTGAATCCCAGCTGCCGGCCGCGCTGGGAAAGGCCTGGAGACCGATTCCCGGCTTCCGGAGAGCCCCAGGGCCCCCGCCGAGCCCCTCCCCGGCCCGCGGCGGCCGCCTGAGCATTTAAGGTAATGTTTGGGCTGGTGCGAGCGGCGCCGGATGCCCCGCCTCCCGCAGCCCCCGCTGGGCGAGACCCCGCGAGCTGGGCTCCGGGGACTCCTGGCGGGATCCCCCCACCCTGGGGGCTGAGGCCTGGGTGCTGGAGGGCTGCCAACGTGGAGAGGCCCCTGGGGTCGGAGGGGACAAGAAGGACAGTCCCCATTCTGAGGCCTTAGCAGGGTTGGGAACTAGGATGGGAGGGCGGCCCCCCTCCCTCTGGCTTAAGGGTCCCTAGTCCCCAGGAAGAGTCCCTACACATCCACATCCTCTTTCTCCTTCTCTCCCCCCAACTCCCGAGCAGAGAAGGGGCTGAGAAGAGAGGCCACTAGCTCCCAGGGGAGTCACTGGAATGCTGGGAGCCTGGGAACAGGCCCTGCAGTCCCTGGGAAAGCCAGGCTGTGGGAATACCACCCGCAGCCCCCTCCCCAGGGTGGACCACCGGATGCCAGAGACCCCAGCTCCCCCATAGGGGGCTTTGTGACAGTGGAACCCCCCCTGGCTGGACCCCAGAGTTCAGTAGGCCAGCTGTGACGAGGAGTCCCCTCCCCCGCCCTCAGCCGGCCAGCCTACTCCAACATAATTCTCGCCATTGTGCCACTCACCCCTTCCCCGCCCCCCTTCTCTGGACCTCTGTACAATGGGGCCTTTGCCGCCTCCAGTACTCAGGGTGGAGATGAACTCACTCAAGTTTTTTCCAAGTTTAAAAATAGCCCCGCCCATCCTCCACCCCCAAGTCACCCTCCTCCTCTTCCCCGTGTTTCTGGGGCGCACCTCAGTCCAGGCTGCACCTCCTTCCTCCTGCCCCGGGTCAGGTGCAAAGGGCATGGGTGAGACAGCGTCCGGCCAGGCTAGGGGCTGCTTCCCCCCATTCAATCTCTTCCCCCACATCTTCCAACCCAGCCCCCCAGTATCCGGTTTCCTGGCCTGATGATGTCCTCGGCAACAATTGCCCCCCACCCTCCTCCCACCCTGTTTTCCACTCCCTCAGCACAGCCTCCTCCCAAGTCAGACCCCCATTCTGAAAAGCTTCTCTCCCCTCCCCTCCAAAGACCCAAACTGGTCTCTATTTTCTGGCCAGGCCAGGGGGTTCCCCAGCCTCCATAATTGCCAAGTTTGCTGGGCCACCCCCCTCCACCCCCTGTTCCTTCCTCATTGCAGCTGCAATGTCTTTATTAGCTTCCTTCCTCCGCCCAGCCCGCCTTTCTCATATCTTCCTCCTGGTCAAGCCCCTGGGCCAGAGGGGTGGGTGGGAGGCCGCTGTGCCTGCCATGCTGGAGCTGAGAGAGGACTTGAGGGAGGACTCCTAGGTTAGAACCCGGCCCCAGTGGCCCCTGGGGGCAGGCCCATCCTTGTCTTTTTACCTCCCACTCCGCTGTGGCTGGGGCCCTGCTCTTCCCACTTTTCCTTACACCCAGATGAAAGCCCCACCACCCTGAAGACCAGACCATGGCCACCACCCCACCCAGCCTCAGTTTCTCTGCCTGTGGTCAGACCTATGCCAGAGAGACTACACAGAGGACATTCCACACAGCGGTCCCCTCCTCTCTGTGTACCCTGGGTCTACCATGGGGGTGGAGGAAAGCATCTTCCTATCCCTTCCTTCTGGAGAGAAACAGACAAATTGGGACTCTGGTCCTGGGCCTCTTCTTGTCTTGGCCTACATCCGGGCAGCACTGCTTCCAACCCAGCCCAGGCGCCAGAGTCTCTGCTGGTGCAAGACCCATCGCTGCCCCCTTGGTCCCCCCTTCAGCTGGGTGGCAGTCCTCTTGCTGAAAGTTCTTCCTCTGCTTCCTTTCTCTTCCCTACTACTGTTGCAGCTCTGCCTTCTGGCATCTTCAAGGAGCCAGAGCGCTGTTACTCTCCACCACCTTGTGTTCCCTCTACCCGGTTCTCCTGCCTTCACTGCCCTTTCTTCCTGTTTCCAGACCCCTCTGAATCCTCTCCAAAGTCCTGATCTCTCTTTGGTTTGGAGTCCCAAAGTTGCCTGCCCCTTGACCTCTACTGCCCACTCCCTGGCAGCCCCGATCTTGCCCCAAGCTGCCGGCTTCCTTAAAGGACAGTCCTTGTGCTTGTTTGGTGGAGTCGGGCAGGGAAAGGATGTCACCCTGGGCTCCAACCTCATTTCCCCTTCACCGCAGAGACAGCTCCTCCACCCCCACCTGGCTTCCCTTGGCACAAGACGAATTCCGAACTGACTGTCCTTGGTGGTTAGCTGGCTTTGTTTTCAGGCGAAGAGGAGAATGATTAGTTAATGGTGTTAAGTGAAGGGAAGGGAGTGGGGGCAGGGAAGCCGAGCTCCATGCCCAGCTCTGGCTTGCCAGGGCAAACAACATCCTTCAGCCATTCCCACTCCTGCCCCTGTAGACAAACTCATCCATTCCACTCTGGGCCCTGGGCCAGTCCATACGTTCACTCTGGGGGTTGCGGAGCCACGGTCCTCTTCCCCCCCAACCCAGGCTCCGGGCTCCAGGCCCCTGCCCTGGCCGGCTTGGCATTGCCTCTGGCTGAAGACTGATGGAGAGAGAGGAGGGGTCACCAAGGTTCCGAAAAAACGAGGCTGATGTAGTTTGCCAGTCATCTCTGCGTCATCAAAATACCACCCCGGAGCCTTCTCTCAAGTCACCTGCCCATCTGCGGCGTTTGCTGCCTCACCCGGCTCCTCCCCCACCCTGCAGAAAGGCTGCCCTGCCAGGGACAGGCCTCCACCCCCAACCCAGACCTCTATTTGACCCTCCCGCTGAAGGAGCCGCAGCAGATGTGATGCTGGGGTCTCTAAGAGGCAAGAGCCCTTCCCACTCCCCAGAGCCTTCCTTCAAGAGGCCAGAAGACCCAGGTTTGGGAAGAGGGGGAGCTTGCTGTGTGGAGGGCTGCCTGCAACCAGATCTGATGCCCCCTCCATGCTTCCCCTCCCCCCAGGTGCTGAGCCACGGTCAACGGTGGGGGTGGAGGGCCGGGGGTGTGCGGGAGCCTGCCTGCAGGGGGTTCTTTTCAACCATCAGGACAGCAACGGGTTTTCAGGGGCCAACCTGGAGACCTCGCACCCATTTACCCTTCCTTTCCCCTCTTTTCTTCATTCAGGTGAGGGGAAACTGAGTCCCAGCTAGGCTCATGGAATGAAGAGGGCACAAACAGAATTTTCAAGGTCTGGACGTGCACAAGTGTGAAAACCTTGGGCCTCTGAATTCAGCCCCCTCCCTTTCCCGCTAGTCGGGCCTTGCGGGATCCCGCTTGGGTTTGAAGGGGCAGCCCGTAAGGCGCCATCTCCACTCCCCGGGACGGGTACCTCTGGGTCTGTGGCACCGGGCCCAGGGTTCTTCCCTCAAAGCTGCCGGCTCTGCGAGGCGGGGGGTGTGCGAGGCTCGGGGGCAGTGCCGGGCCGGCCGCAGCCGCAGTGGTGCAATCGTTCTGGGAAGCGACCGTGGCCGGCCAGGGTCTCTGTGGCAGGGGTCGGGCGCGGCGGAGGCGGCGGAGGCGGGAAGAGGGGCCTGCACGGGAGGCCCCGGTCTGAGGCTCGTCCGCCCCGCGGTCCGCCAGGGCCGCACCGGCTGCTGGGGGCTGCGCGGGGGCGAGCGCGGCTGGTTCTGACCCGGCCTGACTCTGGGCATCCGGGCCAGCCTCTCTCCCTCTCCTCGCCGCCGCCTCGGCCAGCCAGCCCGGCCTCCAGACACCTGTCACTGCCCCCTCGGCCGGCCCGACCGGGCGGGGGGCTGGGCAGCCGGCCCGGCCTCGCTGGGGCCGAGCGGCCAGGCGCGGCTCCGGGCCCGCCCCCACGGAGCGGCGCGGGGGCGGGGGGCTGCGCGGGGCGGGGCGGGCCGGGCCCCCTCCCCCGCCCCCCTGACGTCAGCCCCCGGCGGCCGGCGGCTCGCTCACTAGGCGTTCGCCCTCCGGCCGGGAAGCATGGGGCCGTCCCGGCTCGTGTGCGCCCTCCTGCTCGCCGCCTGCTGCTGCTGTCGCCGCGCCGCGGGTAAGTGGCTTCGCGCGGTGGGAGGGGGGGGGGCGCCGCGCCCCGAACGGCCCGGGCCGGGCGGTCGGGGGGCGCTTCGGCGGAGCGTGCCGGGCAGCGGAGCGGGCAGGGCGCTGCGGCCCGGGGCTTTGCGCTCGGGCGTGCGCTCCTCCTCGCCGGCGCCCCGGCGTCTTGCGCGCGTGCAACTCTTCGGTGCGGCGAGTTTGCAGCCTGGATTCTGGAGTATCCCGGGAGGAGGACCGGGGAGGCGGGGAGGAGGCTGCTGCCCGGAGCGGGAAGGGGTGGAGCCGAGCCTCTCGGGGAGCTGGGGAGAGCTCTGCCTCAGGTGCCCACTCTGGGGGCCCGCGGTTGGAGCGGCGGCGGCAGGCGCAGGAGAGCGCATCCCCAGAGCCCGAATTCTGCGCCCGCCTGTTGCTGGAAAAAGGCAGCTTGCTTAGCGGGAGGGGGTGCGCGGACGCCTCCTCTCCCGCCTGGGCTTCTAGCCAGGCTGGAGGTGAGCGTGGGGGGGGGGGGGTTGGGGGGGGTCGGACGGCGGCTCCCGCCCGAGCAGGGCGTTGGCAGGGGTTGGGGGGCGGCGTGGGTCGCCTCGCGCCTGCCCGGGTGACGGGATCACAGGTGGCAGAAACGAGGGATTGAGGGTGTCCAGAGTGGAAGCGCCCCAGATCCATTACGCCTCCCGGAATGGGACCCCGTTTAGGTGGGAAGAGCGCCCCTGCACCTCGGAGTTTTTCTCTGGAACTGCCCGGCGCTCCCGGGTGCACGCTGCCCTTGTATGGCCTGCAGCGGTGTGGCGTGTTTCACTTGGCTCCTTTTCCTGGGTCCCAGCCGCTGTCCGGCTGGGGAAGGGGAGGGCCAGGCAGTACCCAGCTCACTGGCCTCATGCCCAGTGCCTGCAGTGTCCCTGGGGTACCCCCGGCTGCTGGCTCCCAAGCTGTGTTTCTGGGGAAGGGGCGAAATTGGGCTCCACAGCGGCAGCAGATCTAGCCCCACCGTGCCCTGCTCCTTCAGCTCTGGGGAAACCGAGTCAGGGATCCGAGGCTTGTGCTCTGGGTTGAAGACCACTCCATCTGCCCTCCTTGTCTGGGAGCCAGCCCAGGGCAATAGCCCAGCGTCCCCGAGGCCTGCCAGATGGTATTGAGTGACATCACCTCCTCACAGGGCAGGGAGCACCCTGGCACCACTGACGTCGCTCTTGCCCACTGCCTGGCCCTTGCCCTGACCCCTGGGGGGGGATTCTGACCCCTCCATGCTCACAACACTCCCAGGATGGGGTCCTCTGAGTTTGTGGGATGTTCAGAGGTACTGCTTAGGGAGCATGTGATGGGAGCTCTGGCCATGGTTGGCCCACTAGGTCTTGCGGGAAATTTGGGGAGGGCTCTTTGGGGGGCAGAGTAGTGGTGTCTTCCCCTCGGCGGGCATGGGGACACAAAGGGCCCTGTGTGGCTCAGCCTGGCACATGCCTTGCATTCCCACACTCTGAGCTCACTGGAAGGGGTGGGGGCTTGGAAGGAAAGGGGCCTTCCTCTTGGCCCAGAGCCTGGGTTGCCCCTCTGCCAGCCTCATCTGGAAGATGCTCGTGCTCAGGGTCTCTGCTGCAATGACCAGAGACGGTCACCCTCAGCTCTCCCGAACAGGGGGGAAGGGGGTGCGGTCAGGGGAGAGGGGTCTGCCTGGGGCAGCAGGTAGAGGGGGGTTGAGGGTTAGGAGGACCGAGTCCCCTCTGGACCCTGCAAGTGGTAGGGGGAACAGCTGCAGGGCAGGGGCGTGCAGGGAGGGCATGGAGAGCAGCTGGAGCCGACAGCTGCTGGGACAGGCCTCCTCCACCCCAGGTGTGCCCGGAGAGGCAGAGCCCCCCGAGCCGGAGCTGGTGGAGGCGGAAGTGGGCGGCACGGCGCTTCTCAAGTGCAGCCCCTCCCATTCCCAGGGCAACTTCAGCCACGTGGACTGGTTTTCTGTGAGTGCGCGGGCCCTGGAGAGGGTGGCAGGGGGGCGGGCGGCTGTCCCCCTCCTGCACCCCGGGACCCTCACGTCCTTTCCAACACCGGCCATCAGGTGCACAAGGAGAAGCCGACGCTCATCTTCCGCGTGCGCAAGGGCCAGGGCCAGAGTGAACCCGGGGAGTACCAGCAGCGGCTCAGTCTCCAGGACAGAGGGACCACGCTGGCCCTGAGCCACATCACGCCCCACGACGAGCGCATCTTCCTGTGCCAGGCCAAGCGCCCTCAGTCCCACGAGCACCGCATCCAACTCCGTGTTTACAGTGAGTGCCCCACCTGAGGGTTGTGGGCCGTGCGGGTGGTCGTTGGTGGTGGAGGTCCCGGGCCCCTCATTTCCTTCCCTTGTAGAAGCCCCGGAGGAGCCGACCATCCAGGTCAATCCCTTGGGCATCTCGGTCAGCAGTAAGGAGCCTGAGGAGGTGAGACTGGCCAGGTGGGAAGCAGGAGCCCGGGTGGGGCCGGGTGGGGCCTCCGTGGCAGGGAGACTCACACCGTGTCCTCCTCAGGTGGCCACCTGTGTGGGGAGAAATGGGTACCCCGTTCCTCAAGTCATCTGGTATAAGAACGGCCACTCCCTGAAGGAGGAGAAGAACCGTGAGTTGCCCTCTGCGCCCTAAGAAGCCATGCTGATGGCACCAGAGAGGGACCACCCTGCGTTTCCTTGTGCTTTGTTTGCTTCACGTACACAAGTGACGCCTGAAAATCTTTTCCTGAGAATTTAAACTGTGCAGAAGATCTAGAAGGAAAGTTCCCTTTCCGCCCCGGATCCCCTCCCAGAAGTAATCTCTGCTGTCCGTGTTTGTTCTTTCCATCCGGTTTCTGGGTACTCACACACACACACACACATACACCGAGGCACGTGGAGGCTTTTATTTTTCTCTATCATCTAAAGCAGTGGTTCTCAACCAGGGCTGATGCTGCTCCCCCTCGGGGACGTCCAGTCACGTCCGGGGAGCTGATGCTAAACACCCCATAGTGCACAGGACAGCAGCCCCCCCGCCCCCCGCCCCAGCTAAGGTCGCGCTGAGGTTGAGAAACCCCGACCTCAGTGGCTTGGTGTGGCGTCTGTCGTCACGCCGGGATTGGTTTTCTTTGGTCGGTGGGTCCTGGAAAGCTCAGCGGAGCCTGTGGAGCTGTACCTGATTGTTCTGCCCACCCCCCCTGACCCCCGGATTGCCTACGGTGGGGACGGTGGAGGGGGGCTAACTGTGCAGTCCCCAGTTGGTGGACGTCTGGAGTGTTCCCCACCGCCTCCCCCCGTCACTGCGGCGTCCCGTCCTCGTGTGTGTGCGCGAGGGTCAGGGGTCCCTCTCCAGGTGCCCCCCCGGGGACTCTGGGCTGGGGGCAGAGGCGGGGCCGCGGCCAAGCCCTTCTCCCCGCCCCCCCCTTCTCCCTGGCCAGGGGTCCACATTCAGTCATCCCAGATCGTGGAGTCAAGCGGTCTGTACACCTTGGAGAGCGTTCTGAAGGCCCAGCTGGCGAAGGAGGACAAAGATGCCCGGTTTTACTGTGAGCTCAACTACCGGCTGCCCAGCGGCAACCACATGAAGGAGTCTCGGGAAGTCAACGTCCAGGTTTTCTGTGAGTCCCGGTGCGGCCCTGGGCTGAGGCTGGTGGCAACCCCGGCTAGCTCCGCTCCCCAGCGCGGGGACAGCTCTGGGGCTGAGGGCCGCGGCCTGTGCCTCTGCAGACCCGGCGGAGAAGGTGTGGCTGGAGGTGGAGCCCGTGGGGGCGCTGAAGGAAGGCGACCGCGTGGAAATCAGGTGTTTGGCGGACGGCAACCCCCCGCCCCACTTCACCATCAGCAAGCAGGTGCGGAGGGCGCCACGCTGGGGGCCCGTGGGCCGCGGGACTGGCCGGAGGCCCCCCCGCTCACCCCTCCGCTCTCTTCCAGAACCTCGGCACCAAGGACACGGAGGAGATGACACCCGAAGACAACGGGGCCCTGGTCTTGGAGTCTGCCCAGAAGGAGCATAGTGGGCTCTATCAGTGTCAGGGCCTGGACTTGGAAACCATGGCTTCGCTGCTGAGCGACCCACAGGAGCTGCTGGTGAACTGTGAGGGGCCAGGGGCCCAGGGCAAGGGGGCCCGGGCTGGGGGGTGGCAAGAGGGAATTCGCCCCGACCGGGCTGACACCACTGCTGTGTCCCCAGACGTGTCCGACGTGCGGGTGAGCCCTGCAGCCCCGGAGAGCCGGGAGGGCGGCAGCCTCACCCTCCGCTGTGAGGCAGAGAGTAACCAAGCCGTGGAGTTCCAGTGGCTGAGAGAGAAGGTACGCAGGCGGGCCTGGGGCTGCGGGCTGCGTGGGGCTGGGAGCGAGCCCCTGACGCCGTCTCTCACCCCAGACAGGCCAGGTGCTGGAAAAGGGGCCTGTGCTCCAGTTCCACGGCCTGACGCGCGAGGCAGGGGGAGGCTACCGCTGCCTGGCGTCCGTGCCCAGCGTCCCGGGCCTGAACCGCACGCAGCTGGTCCACGTGGCCATTCTTGGTGAGAGGCCCTCTGGGCAGAGATCAGGCGGCCCCTTGAAGATGCCCTGGGGTGCGCTGGTGGGGACGGGGAGGCCGGCTAGCAGACTTTGCTGCCACACCCGTACCCCTCCCTCCCTAAGGGTCCCCATGGATGACGCTGAAGGAGAGGAAGATACGGGTGCGAGAGAACGAGGTGCTCAATCTGTCGTGCGAAGCCTCGGGACATCCGCGGCCCAGCATCTCCTGGAGCGTCGCGGGCACGGTGAGCAGGCCCGCCGCCTCTGCCCGCGCTCAGGAACCCCTGCCCGGGGCTCTGCTGCCGGCTCTGGGCCCCCTCCCCGTGCCCCCCTCCCTGAGTGGCTCCTCCGTCCTTGTAGGCACAGGAACAAGACCAAGATCCGCAGGGCGTCCTGAGTGTCCTGAATGTCCTCGTGACCCCAGAGCTGTTGAGGACGGGGGCCGAGTGCGTGGCTTCCAACTCCCTAGGCACAAACACCACCACCATTCTCCTGGAGCTGGGTAAGGGCCTCATCCCGCGGCGTGGCGGGGTGTGGGCCCCAGTGTGCGCTTTTCCTAACGCACCTCTCCACCGCCTTCGCCACTCACCAGACTCCAGCAGAAGCACCGGCCTGAGCACCTCCACCGTCAGTCCCTCCGTCCGAGCCAACAGCACCTCCACAGGTAAGCAAGCCGTCTCGGCTCGAGAGCGGGGCGGGCAGCCTCCTCCTGCCCTGACCCTTCCCCGGGGAGCCCTGCTGAGAAAGGTGAGCGGGGGCCCATCTTCCGTCAGCCCTGGGCTGGGGGGGCGGCCTGGAGTGACCCGGAGCGTCTTTGTGGGACAGAGAAGAAGCTGCCAGAGCCTGAAAGCAAGGGCGTGGCCATCGTGGCCGTGACGGTGTGTGTGCTGGTGCTGGCCGTGCTGGGTGCCGTCCTCTATTTCTTCTACAAGAAGGGCAAGCTGCCGTGCGGGCGGTCAGGCAAGCAGGAGATGTAAGCACGGTACCCTGTGCCCTGCGCCCCCACCCGTCGCGCGCTCCCCAGCTTGTCGCCTGGGCAGGGACGTTCCCTGCCCGCCCCCACCCACTCACCCCTTCGGAGCAGGAGGGGGCCGCTGGGGGGTGAGTGCTCCCCGCTTTCCTGCCCACTGGCTAGCTGCCATCACCCACACGTCTCCATTCATCGCCTGTCCCCCTTCCCTGAGCTGGCCCCGGAGCGCCGAAGAGCCCCTCATCGCCCAGTCCGATGTCTTTGCCAGTGAGCCTCCCTTTCCTCGCCCGAGATGCCAACTTCTTGCCTCCCTCCCTCCTCCCAGCACGCTGCCCCCGTCTCGTAAGAGCGAATTTGTAGTTGAAGTTAAGTCAGATAAGCTCCCAGAAGAGATGGGCCTCCTACAGGGCAGCAGCGGTGACCAGAGGGCGCCCGGAGACCAGGTAGGAGGCAGCTCCTGCGGCCAGCGCCTGACCCAGCTTCAGGGATCGCGAGCTCCAGGGGCTGATGGCCCTCGTGTCCCCGAACACTAACTCTGTCTCCCCACTTCCTCCTCCTCTGTTGGGAGACTGGGAGCAGGCCCGTCTTGGCTTCCTAACACTAGTCCCAGATGGTAGGGTGAGGCGAGTGGCCGAGGGACCCTGGAGAAGGGGTAGCTCCCAGGACAGAGGGCAAACACTGCCCGTCTCCACCACCCTTTCCCCAACAGTGCCATGGCTCAGGTCACCAGGTGCAGCGTGGCCAGTCTGGTTGGGGGGCCTAGGCTCGCCCGCCCTGCCCCACCACCCCCTCCCGCTGCTTCCCTCCACGCCTCATCCATCAGCTTTGGCTTTAGTCCCTGGTCCCTTCAGCGCTCACACCCCAGACTCCCGTCCCTGTCCCTCCCTGTCCCCGCCGCGCCCCCCTTACCTCTCCTGTCCACCCGTGTCTAGGGAGAGAAATACATCGATCTGAGGCACTAGCCCGCCCAGGACACCGAGCGCCCTTCCCACCTGGAATGTTTTCTGCTCCCCACTCACGCCCTCCCTCCCAACGCTCAGGACGACCGCCAAAGCCTCCGAAGCGGGCTGTGGAGAAGGCCCCTGCCGCAGCAGGCGTGCCGGCCCCATCTCAGAGGGCTGAGCCAGCCCGCCACCGTCTCACTGTTGGGTGATGCTCACCCCAGGGAGGGGCCTCAGCATCCTGGGAGCGGGAAGGAGTTTCTCACAGACCATGTTGTGGGTGTACGTACCTGTCTTCAGCCGGCAGCCTATTTATCTTGGTGCTGGCTTCCTGCTCCGAAGGCTGGCCTCGTCCTTCAGTTGTGTCGCTGAAGTGAGGGCTCCCTGAGCCCAGGCCCCTCTCACACCGTTCTGGAGAGTACCGCAGCCTTCCTGACAAGCGGCTACCCACCTGCTTCAGGAGCCCCTTTTGTGACCCACCTTCCTCTGGGCAGAAGCCAGGACTGGTGTCATTCCTTAAAAGAGGTGTTGGGTGTATCTCATGGTCCCTGCAGGGAGGAAGCTAGGCAGTTTTCCAGAGTTAGGCCATTGAGCCCAACACCCTCCCCCTGCAGTTTGGCTCCCACTGCCCAGTCAAGGGGTCGTATCAGACTAAAAGGTGGGGTTAGGGGACAGAGATGAGGTCCCGACTGTCTTTTAGGAGAATTATATCAAGGCTATAATTCTACTAGCACCAAACTTCTACGAACTGAGCTAACGGGCTTAGACCCTGGCAGAAGCGCCCTCACGGGAGAATGGTACTTCGGGACGAGGAGCGGGCCTGGCTGCAGCTTTGGGGTGTGTATGTGTATCTATCTGTGTGTGCGTGTATGTATATGTGGTTTTGTTAGGTCGTGTGTACATTTGCAAATTTCCTTTATATATATATATATATATATATATGAAAAATAAAGCTTAATTGTCCCAGAAACGTCACACTGCTTTTTATTCATCACGGTACCACAGCAGCCTGGGGCCTCCGGATCTGGCACTGCACCAAAAGGAATACCAAACCCTTTGCATTTGGGAGCGGGGACCAGGGTTACCTCTGCTTCTGAGCAAATGGCTCAAGTTCTACCACAGAGGATAATGACCCTTCTTAGCAGCAGCGAAGCCGCCTTGCCCGAGGCAGCCTGCAGGGCCTGCCGGGCTGTGGGCAAGGAGCTACGAAGGGCCGGCAGGAGGGCTTTCCTCCTGCGCAGACCTACCTCACCGTGACGACTGGGTGGGCCGAGTCTGTCTGTCGCTCTCCCACCCCCACGGAAGAGCAAGAACTCCAGTCTGCTACAACAAAAGAAACTTTATTTAAAAATACTTTTTTTTTTTTTTTTTTACAGACATGGGTGCTTGAAAAAGCTCTTTAGTTAACTGTGTATGGAAATGAAAAAAAATTAATAAATAACATTAGTATAACAGACCTCTAAACATTAATACACTGGCAAAACAAAAGGGACTTGAAAATGAATCTTAAAGCTCTGCTCTTCTCTGTAAGAATATTTACCTTCTGTTTTTATTCTTTACAGGTGAGAATGATTAAATACTGCTAATATAAATTTTTTTTATATTAATGACACATTTTTAAAATAGTCCACAAAAATCTCATCTAAGTTTCCGTTTTGTTTTATTTTTAACACTGATACACAAATTGGGACTCTCTCTTCTGGAGAAGGCATCAAGTTCTCCTCAGCCCCACCCAGGTCAAGAATGTCAAAATCCTAAAGAGGGAGGACTTGAAAAAGAAGGGTTTCTCTCCCAATTCCTTATTAGTTAAAGGCAGGGAGGAACTGAAAAGGTCGGAGAGGGAGAAGTAAAATACCGCGTAGAAAGCATTTTGTCTTTTTTCTTTGCCCAGACCTACAGCGGCCACACAAGCCTGAGGCCGGGCTCGGGCGCGGGCCTTGCTGCCTCTCCCAGGGGCGAGCGACCCCGCCGAGGGCACCGGCTGCCTAATGCTCTGAGACTCAAGTCTTCAAGTAAGAGGAAAGCCGAGTCTGAAGGGAGAGGCAGGAGGTCTAGGCCAGTTCGGGATGCAGCACAAAGAAACAACCCCCCCTTGTCAGCAGAGCCCATCCTCCACTCTTGCATGCAGCTGGGGCCTTACCAGGCAGGACCAGGAGGCTGGCACGCGCCAAGTGGTCCAGGGCACTCCTGGGAATCCCAGAACAGTCTCTCTCCTCTGGCTGGAGACAGATCGCTCAACCTGTAACTACGACTCTGAATGGAACCAACCAGATGCTCCCAGGTAACGCTGGCTTCTCCCAACACGGCACCAGGGCAGGGGGAAGGGACTGCTGCCCCGCCGCACCTATGTGCCCTCTCCCCAGCCCCACACAGCGTCTCCTCCTCCCCCCTACACTGTGAGGACTGACGCTCAAGGTAGAGGAGCTAAGACTCTGATATTTCCATATTAAGTCCTAAAATGCAGCCTGGGACACAGTGCTGCCTTAGAAAGGCACAAAATGTTTGGCTTTTTTTTTTTTTTTCGGTATGCTAAAAATTGTTCTGTTTTGAATAAAGGAAAAAGATATATAAGGTTAAAAATTCCAAGTCACTGCAGCCAGAGAGCAAATGTAGGAGGCACCTCCTAGCTGCCACGCCTCTACCGCGCGTTTCAGCAGGAGGTCAAGGCCAAGACACTGAGACGGGCAGGTCAGGAGGTATCCACTCTCACGGGCGCTGCGCCTACAGGCTTACCCAGACAGCAGAAGGAAGCCAGGGGAGAGAAAACACGGGGTCTCCAGACTCCTGAGTAGTTCTCTGCCTCCTCAGTTTCAAGACAGCCGTGAGCAGGGCCACCCTCACCCACAACAGGGTCAGAGGTAGGTAGGGAGGAGGGAGCAGACACACACGGACGTAAGGGCACGAAGCGTGGGCAAGCAGTCTGGCCTGCACCCCCCCACCCCCGTCTGGGAGGAGAATTTGCGAGTTCACTGTAGGAAGAAGTCAAGAATCCGGAGCCGGTGATCACAACTCTGCTGATCTGTTTGGCTGCCTCATCAGGAGGAGCACGGAGGTTGGCTTTCAGCCTTTGCTCTGTACAAGAGGGAGTGGTCCGCCACATTTTTCTCAAGCACTACCCCAGGGAAGGGAAGGGGCAGGGAGATAGATGTCCAGACAGCTGTTACTCCGAGCTCGGCAGGCGCGCTTCTGAAGAGCTGACGTTCCCATCTGAACGCGGATGTGCCTCCACCCGCCCCTATCTCCCCACCTCTTACTCCGGTGCTACTCAGCAGAACCAGAACACACCGGTACTCCCTCTGAAACCAACCCAGATTTCCGAGGACACGGGCGCATGGCGTTGCCGTCCCTCTGCTCCTTGATTCTGGACCGAGTCCAGGATATACCAAATGCAAAGGCTAACGACCCCCCTTCATCAATGTGTATCTTTGGATTACTAGGTTACTTCTGTGTACTCCAAACGACTCCAATAGCTTAAAAAAGTTACAAGTAATTATGAAATGCCTTACTAACATGGGACAGGCCCTTGGATGAGGTAAGATCGATCAAAACACTTAGGCAAGCAGAAGCAGTTCTGTAAAAATCCAAAAAATAAAGGCTTTGATACGGCACTACAAAGAAAGCAAGTGGACGGGGAAGACAAGGGTTTCCAGTCTAAAGAGCTCTCAGTCAAAACTCTCCTCTAAACTGGAATCTACATCGGATTTATATCCTGGCAACTGTCCCAACTATTAGATAGTCTTGCTGGCTACAGGGAAGTAGTTTCTGAGGCACCTCGGAAGGCTTGCCTAAGAACATTACCACAGAGCTCTCCGCACGCAGCAAACACCAAATGCAGGGGTGAAGGAGGAGGGCAGGGAGGGCCACGGGCCCACAGAATGAATATATGTTCAGCGAGAAAACCTGAAGAGAGCCAGAGGTCCATGGGTGGCTACAGTGGGATCTGTCATCTGCTCTCCAAATAATATGAAAGAAGGCTAAAAACCTGAGATTGAATGAAGGCAAAGAAATGTCACCTAAGAACAGACTGGCTCCGGAACAGGAGAAACTGGTCCTGAAGAGGGAGGTAAGAAATCTTGGATGCCAAGACCGGTAAAGGGAATTAAAACACGAAATAAAGCAACAAAGATGACGGAAACCCGAATTAAGCGAAACCTAAGAATTTCTTCAATGTCCCAGATACAGTCCCAAGTCCCATGCCCTGCCTTTCCACTCTCCGGGGGGGGGGGAGAGAAGGCAGTTACACGACAGCAGTTTTGCTACTAAAATACTTCTAGGGTATCTATCCCGTCTGAAGCCTCTTCTCTGAGAGCCCTCCCCCGACTCCCACCTGAGGGGGCCACTGTCACCCCTGCGCCCAGGCTGACCAGTCAGGGGTAGAGGCCCGAGCAACGTGCTGGGCTGATCGTGTTTTTTCTTGAGAAGAGGAGTAAGAGGCCCTGGGAATCTGTGCATGGTGATCCCGAGAGCCGGGAGGTCGTGTGGACCTGCGGACAGGGCTGTCTAATCTGGGGCGGTGCATGACAAGGAGAAAGGACTAGGTGCAAATTTTGACAGCCCCAGCTCCATGTAAGAACCCACTGTACTTCCTATACTGGGGTCTATAAAATACCCTGCATCCTTAGGACTCCCTCCTTTCTTTAGCCTGGATACCTGTTTCTTGCATCTGAAGGATTCCTAAACAGGACAGTCAACAATATAAAACCGTGACCTCCTTTCAGCATGCACCCTCCTCTGTGCACAAATGGCTTGATGCGTTTCTAAAGAAAGACTGCGACACAGGCTGGGGTCAAAGTGGTGCCAGGACCACTTTATGCTGACGTAGATTACTTCAGCTTGAATTTCTAAAGCCTGCACAGTTAGCAGAAGAATGGTGATGTGCGCATCCTGATGCTAAGTTCTAGGGTCCTGGGCTCCCTACCCTGGGACAGAAAGGCTGGCATTTCTGAGAAGTGACTGAGTTCCATCTATTTTACTGCCTGGCTCTTGGGAGAGCACATACATCTGTTCAAGACCAGGACCCAACGTTAGGTATCCACCCGTCTCCCACACCTTCAGCCCTTCTAGGACACAGGATGAGCTGCAAAGGTCGCTGAAGGGCTGGGAAACAAGTCTCAAGGAGAATGGGAGATGGTGACAGGTCCCAGGAGGGTGACAAGGAAACTTCACAACAATGGGGGACTAGGGACTCAAAGCAGTTCAGTAAAAAGATCGGGGAAGGCACTAGACTGGAGAGGGGACTGTGGGCAGATGCTCTGCTTAAACATTTAACTGCCCTACTGTGCGACTCTGAGCCAATATGCGCCTCAACCCACCACACAGATTCCATTGCAAGGCATCCAAGACGGCAGGTCCCCATGAGGCCGACACCGCGGAATCTCCCAGACATTATCAAGGCTCTAGGAAGACAACAGGGGTTCATGAAGAGCCTTGAATTGCTCCTACCCAGGACAGCTCTACAAGGAAATACGTGTCTACGTGGAAGAGCTGTAAATACACACTGCACAGTCTCCTTGGGAAGGGCTATTTCAGGGCCAGATGCAAGGGCAAGACGGCCCAAGTACAATCCGCCGGCATCGGGAAATCCGCACGTGGTGGCAGCGAAGGGCTCGGCACTGGCACTTCCGGCATATGGGAATCACTCACGGGACCTTTGCTGAACGAACAGGCTAACCGGAACGCAGCCAGGCCAGTGGTCCGAACGCCGTTCCTCCCTGGGCAGTGGCCACCGGAGTCAGAAAGGCCAATGGCAGGAAGGGGAAGGTACAGTTTAGGAAGAAGGTCTATAATCCTGACTGTCATGACATGAGGTAGGAGAATATTCTGCATCAACACCTGCGCTGACCACCCAAAACAGGTGTCGATCTTATTAATGGTGCCTTAAAGGGAATATAGAGCTTGGTCCCTACTCTGCTAGCAAATTTACAAAAACTCATTTGTACGTTGGCTGTGTGGACCATGGGTTATATTTTACTTTT